CTGGAGGTGCGGAGCCTGGAGGTGCTGAGCCTGCGTGTGAGGGGTCTGGGGGTGCTGAGCTTGGGGGTGCGCCGTCTGGGGGTGCTGAGTCTGCTGCTGCGCCGCCTCCTTGGGGTGGCCGTCTTCGTCCACGTGTGCCCCTCACCCCTCAGCAGCTGCAGGACTGGTACGGTCGTCGTCAGCGTCGCACTACTGGTACACGGGACTCTGCAGCTGGTGGTGTTGGTTCTTTGTCTACTGGAGGTACTGCCGTCGCGGGTCCCGGATGTGCTCGTACCGTTGGTACTCGAGCTGCCGGGGCTAGTGGTGCTGTACCTGAGGGTGCTACTGCTGGTGACACTGCGTCTGGAGACCCTGGGACTGGAGGTGCCGGTTCTGGGGGTGCTACTGCTGGTGGAGCTGGTCCTAGTGGAGCTGACACTGGGGGTGGTGGAGTTGCTGGAGGTTCTGGAGCTGCTGGGGGTACTGGAGCTGCTGGTGCTGGTGGCACTGCGCAGCCGCGACTGTTCTTCGCTCCGCCGTCCCCGTCGTCGCTACCACCTACTGACTCTGTGCTTCGCCAGGTTCTTAGCCTTCCGTCTTCTACTGGTCTTCCGTTACAGCCTGGCTCACCGCTGCCTGTTCCTTCTCCCTACACTGAGCAGTCCGGCGGTCTTACTGAGCGTCGTGAGCCTGCGTCGCGTCCTGTCTCGCCTGTTAGTTCTCGTCGTACCGCTCGTCGTGTTCCGCGTCCGCGTTCGCCGACTGTCCCCACCGCGCACCTTGTCGTCCGTCGTCCTTCCTCTGTTCCACAGTCTGTTCCTCTGCCGTCTCCTCCTGCGTCCTCTTTACCTGACGTTCCCGACCCTGAGTCTGACCGCGTTCGTGCTGCGCACCCTACTGTCACGCGTCTGCTCGCCACTGTTGTCACTGACCCTTCTTTTGAGTCTGCTGCTGCGTCTGCCTTGGTCGCTGAGCTTGTTGACTTTGCTGCTGCCTGTCGTCTAGACTACGCTGCTAGTCTGGTTGCTGAGTCTGAGTCTGTCTGTCCTCCGTCCGTCGGGGGTGAGTGTGCTCTTAGCACGGACGTCCTTGAGGACAGGCACGAGGACCTTGAGTGTCTTGCAGCCGCTGCGCCTCATCTTGTGGCCATGCTGCTTGCCCCTGAGGGAGACCCGGATGCTATAGACATCCCTACCCCGCGCTCTTACGCTGAGGCGATCGCGGGTGACTACTCCTCTCAGTGGCAGGCAGCCATGGACGCAGAGATGGCATCCTGGAAGTCCACAGGCACGTACGTCGATGAGGTTCCCCCCCCCGGGGCGAACATTGTCGATGGCATGTGGATTTTCAGGGTGAAGCGGCCGCCAGGTTCTCCGCCTGTCTTCAAGGCTCGTTACGTTGCTAGAGGCTTCAGTCAGCGAGAGGGAGTCGACTTCTTTCAGACCTTCTCCCCCACCCCGAAGATGACCACTCTTCGGGTGCTACTGCACGTTGCCGCTCAGCGTGACTACGAGCTTCACTCGCTGGACTTTAGCACAGCCTTCCTACAGGGCAGCCTGCACGAGGAGATCTGGCTACGCCGTCCACCTGGCTTCACTGGGTCGTTCCCTCCTGGTACCCAGTGGAGCCTCCGCCGGCCAGTCTACGGTCTCCGCCAGGCACCACGTGAGTGGCACGACACACTGAGGACTACACTTGCGGCTCTTGGGTTTGCACCTTCGACAGCTGACCCGTCGCTGTTTCTACGCACCGACACTTCTCTGCCGCCGTTCTACATCCTCGTGTACGTCGACGACTTGGTCTTTGCCACTGCTGACACTGAGGCTCTCGCCTTGGTGAAGTCGGAGCTGCAGAAGAGACACACGTGTACTGACCTGGGTGAGCTGCGCAGCTACCTTGGCTTGCAGATCACCTGAGACAGCACGCCGCACCATCACACTGACTCAGTCACACATGGTGCAGCAGGTCCTTCAGCGCTTCGGCTTCACCTGGTCCTCTCCACAGGCCACTCCTCTGGCTACAGGTCACTCGCTCTCAGCTCCACCTTCGGACGAGTCCGTAGAGCCGAGTGGTCCTTACCCAGAGCTAGTGGGCTGCCTCATGTACCTGATGACTTGCACTCGTCCTGACCTTGCGTACCCCCTTGGCCTTCTGGCCCGTTACGTGGCTCCTGGTCGGCACCGAAAGGTGCACTGGGATGCTGCGAAGAGGGTACTGCGCTACTTGTGCAGTACATCGGGCATGGGGCTCGTGCTTGGAGGACGGCGAGAGGTGGTCCTCACTGGGCACTCAGACGCTTCTTGGGTTGACGACCAGGCTACGCAGCGGTCGTCACAGGGTTACACTTTCAGCCTTGGCTCTGGTTCTGTTTCCTGGCGTTCTACTCGCTCGTCTTCTGTTCTCAGCTCCAGTTGTGAGGCTGAGATCTACGCCACAGCCATGGCTGCTCAGGAGTTGCGCTGGCTCACCTACCTGCTGACCGACTTGGGAGAGCGGCCTCGTTCTCCTCCAGTTCTGTACGTCGACAACAAGGCTGCCATTGCCTTGTGTGAGGAGCACAGACTGGAGCACAGAACGAAGCACATCGCTCTGCGTTACTTCCTGGCTCGAGAGTTGCAGCAGCGTGGTCAGCTTCGACTTGCACACGTGGCCACTCGGGCCAACACTGCTGATATATTCACCAAGGCACTTCCGTCTGGTGATCATCAGCGCTTTTGTACCTTGTTAGGTCTTGTGCCTACGTTTCCACACTTGCTGTAGGCTTTGCTTGTACTGTGATCCATATATATATGTACCTGCATGCTTACATCTGCTAGGTAGTGATCACTGTGCTGTTTTTGTTGCTTATATACCTCTGCATGTGAACTGGCCTTGTGGCCCTCTGCTTTGTCTCAGAGTGTGTGGTGACGTTGTGATCCACCCTGAGCTTGCTTTGCTTCTCTTGACTGGTCTTGTGACCCCTTGTTCTCCCCCACTTTGCCTATGGGGGTGTGTCAAATGTTATATCTGTGCTAGATTGATCTAGGCTTTAGTGGGGTAGCACTAGGGGGTACAAAATTTCCCTCGACATTCTCCTTGTACCCCCCCCTTTGACCTAATCTGATCATACCTAAGTTCTAAGACGGAGCAGTGCGACGCAGGGCAGGGCGTGCGCGGGCAGCGCGACGCAGGGAAGGGCAAGGCATGCGCAGGGCAGCGCGACACAGGGCAGGGCAGTGCGTGCACGGGGCAGCGCGACGCGGGGCAGGGCAGGGCGTGCGCGGGGCAGCGCGACGTAGGGCACGGCAGGGCATGCGCGGGGCGGCGCGACGCAGGGCAGGGCGTGGGGTAGCGCGGTAACCGCAGTCGGTCACTAGCTAATGGTGGGCCCGGAAAAAAAAGCGGTCCTACGGACCTACTGCTCTGAAACCATGTCAGAATAGAGAGCGAGAATGAATGTGTTGAGCAGAGAAGTGGGTACATATGCTAACCCTAATATGGGTTGTACCCCTTATGGACTACCCCACTATAGCCTATCCAGCACAAGCATCATTTTGGTTTGACAGATATTGGTGGGTGTTCCCTCCACTTTCTACTTCAGTCAGGAACCCTCCTTCCCTGCATAGCATCCTCGCACCTTGACTCGCATCTGGTCGTAAAGCAGCGGCAGCAGCTCAGGCAGGAGGTCCTTCACAAGCCAGCCCTGGCTTGTTGTGCACTGCTGTTGTCAGCGCCAGCACTGATGCCCGCCGCACATGCTGCAGTGGAAGGGGAAGAGGGATGAACACACAACAGGCTACAGCTCATGTGGCTATTGACGGTAGGAACTACCACATCGGGTCCTTTCAACTGATTTTATTTCCAAACCCGCCCTGGCATAACAAATACCGTATGAAAGCATATCCCAATTCCCACCCCTTGTGTGCTTCTTGCCTCATTAGTTATCGCATCCAAGTCTCAACAAGGACAAACACCACATGCTCTTAGATTATATTTCCCTGCATATAACACCCTAGTGCACCTGCTGTACTACATCTAAAGTTCCGTGCTAAATAGCCCACATACCGTCATCACCCGGATATAAGACAGTGTTGAATAGTAGACAGGGGTTGTCTATTATACGGGTGTCTCTTATAAACAGGCTAGCCTCATTATAAGACACCTATTTGTGTGTACGAGCTAAGCTAGTGTAAGGATTAGGGGCAATTGTATAACGAGGGGGTATCTTCTAAACGGTTATGGCTCCATTTATAAGACTTATAAGACACCCAAAACCTCCCCATTTATAAGATAACCCAAACATTTTTTCTAGTGTACGAGATAAGACATATATGTCTTATATCCGGGCGATGACGGTACGGTATAGGCTTAATGGACAAACTCAGCGCCCTTTGGTTGGCTTCAATTGTAGCCAACTCCGGAGGCCATCACCTATCGAGCTAACACGCATATATGAGCTCACACCAGACTGTGAGCCACTCCCACCATCTCCAAACGACACAGCAGAAACATCCCGTGAAGACACACCCTCGTCGTTTGCACTCTCTTCTCTCGCAACACTCTCCCACTCATCCTCCCTGTCGGGGCAGTGCTTTTCAATGAGGGCACTGAGGCGGTATGCCACATCCTTCATGGTGGGTCGCCGTGTGCCGGGAGACTTGATGCAGTCCAGAGCCAGGTCTGCAAAGTCCACTATCGCCTCCTCACTGGCCCCTAGCATCTTGCCGTCCCGCAGCTCCTCTAGATTATACGCCTCCACCCTCTTCATTGCCTGCAAGGCATCCACACAAGGGAAGGATGACGCATGGAAAAGGTGGTGAAAAACAGCATGATAAGCAGGAAAGGGGTGCAAGGCAAGCATGACAGCAAGAAAAGGCTGTCACATTTAGAATGGATGGGAATTCAGGATAAGTGTGGGGCCACGAAAAAAAAGAAATGAAGAGACAGAGTTGAGATGTGAAGGGCACAAACATTCTCTGACATGCAACATTCATATTTGCGCCAACTGGACACTTGGATTTCATAGTTGACGATCGTACCCATTTGCTTATATGTGTTTTTGTGTCAACTTGGGGAGATTTTCCACTCAGCAACTCAAGAAGCACGATTCCAAAGCTGCAAGCAATCATGCGTTGGAGACAGAGGAATAAACTTGGAAAACGAAAGAGAGAGAGGTACAGGGTACAAGTATTCAGCATCAACATGGAATATTAGAAAACAAAGTTAGGAGCACAAGTTCACGGCACTGTGCAAAGGAACGAGCATGCATGCAATGCTCACCTGAACACATCGCTCTTGGCGGTGATGACGTTGGTGCGGTTGTAGTCAGGGTCCACATAGCCCGGAGTGCCGGCCACTCGCGTGGCATCAGCATCGCCGTGAGTGAGGCGCTTGAGCAGCCCAAAGTCAGCCACCTTGGCTTGCATGTCGGCGGTCACGAGGATGTTTGCCGGCTTGATGTCGCGGTGCACGATGGGTGTGTCGAACCCGTGTAGGTATGCCAGGCCCTCTGCTGCTCCCTGCGCTAGGCGCAGCCTCTGGCGCAGAGAAAGGGGACCTGGAACACGATACACGTGTATGGATCAGAATGTGCAGTTATATGGGAGACATTGTCATGCTCTGTGCTATGTATATAACACATTGAAATACATATACACACACATATATAAACGACTGGCAACCATTGAGCAGTCGTGCCGGTGCAACTCGCGTGTGCAGAGAAACGAAAATGCCTGGAACCATTTCGCCATCGTGCCAGTGCAACTCACGGCAGAGCAACTCACGGCAGAGCAACTCACGGCAGAGCAACTCACGGCAGAGCAACTCACGTTAGAGCAACTCACGGCAGAGCAACTCACGGCAGAGCAACTCACGTTAGAGCAACTCACGGCAGAGCAACTCACGTTAGAGCAACTCACGGCAGAGCAACTCACGTTAGAGCAACTCACGGCAGAGCAACTCACGTTAGAGCAACTCACGGCTGAGCAACTCACGGTTGGTGGCATGGATGTGGTACTGGAGGTCCCTGTTGCCGATGAACTCGTACACGAGGATCTGCTCCTGCTTGCCCGTCTCCACGTTCTGGTCCAGACAGAAGCCCAGCAGGCGCACCAGATGCACGTGGTGCAGCGATGCCATGGCTCGCACCTGCACCATGGGCATGGAACGCAATGCAGGCAGATGCAAAGGGAAACGGGAAGGCGAGCACAGAATCTGCAGGTCAGCATTTTGGACAGCAGAGAGTCCTGTTGTATTTTTGTGGTCTGTGGGTGGAAAGCAGGGAGAGAGTAGAGGGATGCCTGATCTCTGTTTCAAAGTCGTTGGTCATGATGGTGTCTCACCTCTGTTTCAAAGTCGTTGGTCATGATGGTGTCTCACCTCTGTTTCAAAGTCGTTGGTCATGATGGTGGATCGCTTGATGGCCCACAGCTGCCCCTGTGGCGAGCGGCCTTTGTACACAATGCCAAAGCCGCCCTTGCCCAACACATTGTCCTCGGACCAGTTGTTGGTGGCCCTCAGCATCTGCTGCAGCGAGAACTGCTCACACACATCCAACCCCTCCCACTTCTCTGTGACCACAGGAGGACGAGGGGAGAGAGCGACCGAGAGGAATGAGTGACCAAGTGTGTAGGTGAGTGGAGAGAGCACGAGGGTACAGGAAAAGCAGAGTTGGAATGCAGGAAAAAGGCAGGGAGATTAAGCAGAGAAGGAGGCTAGGAAAGAGGTAAAGCACTAGGGGAGACGGAAAGGAGCTGAAGAAGGGTGGAGGGGCTCTCACTTGGTCCGCGGGGCCACAGCAGCCATGCGAGCATAGCAGCCAGCAGCGTGAAGCCAGCAAAGCAGCCCAGAACGATGCCCACTATGGCACCCGTGGACAGCGAGGCCACTGCCAAGGAATGGAAAAATGGAGTGCGAGTGAAGCTAAACAAGGCAGCAAAGAGGGTTGGGTAGACACTGCAAGATGGAGCAGAGCAAAATGCTGGAAAGGGGGGGCAAGAGCTCAAGCCACTGATTAAACATACCGGAAGCGGGTGCCAGCTCGCAAGTGGTGGTGTTGGCGGTGCCGGCAGCAGTGACAGCAACGTAGCCACTGGCGCAGGAGCAGGAGAGGGACGGCGGCCAACCGCTCTGCACCACACACTGCCCCGCTCCCGCACCCCCACAGGGCCCCTGCCCTGACTCTATCCCACACACCGCCGCACACTCTCCCGCCCCCCGCTGCTGTCCCACGCCCTGGCTCCCCACACAGTTCCCATCTAAAGCTAGCCATGCCACTGAGGTGCTGCTATTCCCTCCGCCCTCCCCTCCTGCTCCAGTTCCCCCCTGCTGCTCCCCTTGCGCCACACACACGCACTGAGGGTTCGTTGCATCCTGGGCTGGGAGGGACTGGGATTGGGGGGTCGCTGGGAGGACGAGAGAGGGGATTGGGGGCGAGGAGGAGGAGGAGGAGGAGGAGGAGAGGGTGATGTTGGGGGAGGGGGAGAGGGAGCCGTAGAGGTAATTGCTGCTGAGATTCAGGCTGATGGGCGGCATGTTTTGGAAGGTTGCGGCGTCCATGAAGATCAGATTGTTGCTGACGTCACTGGCAGAGAGTTACAGAGTAAGGGGAGGCATGTATTGGAAGGTTGCAGCGTCAATGGGGAGAGGAGAGGTCAGGACCGGAGATGGCCTGAAAAGTAAGGAAGCGGAATGTAATTGCAGCAGGATTGGAGGTCGAAGGTTACAAAGGAGAGTGAGCAGCTGAGAGAAAGAGGAACGAGGACATTGTTAGGGTGATGAGCGAAGGGGGCAAAACTGAAGGGCGAAGGGTAAAGATGGGTGAAGGTTGAATGGGGAGCGGACATGAGTTGGACGGAGGAGATGAAGGGCAGGCACTGAGGGAGGGCCCCCCAGAAGGCGTTGCTGCTTAAGAGCCTGCAGGTGGACGGGCAGGTGGGCACATGGGCAGGTGGGCAGGTGGGCACATGGGCAGGTGGGCAGGTGGGCACATGGGTAGGTGGGCAGGTGGGCACATGGGAAGGTGGGCAGGTGGGCAAGTGGGCAGGTGGGGAGATGGAGACATGGGGAAAAGGAGGCAATAGGAGAACGCGAGAGAAGGGGAGATGGTGAGGGGAGCGAGGAGGTGATGAAGCAAGCAAGATGGATCCCAAAAGGATGACAATAGAGAGGAGGCAACTAGCGCAGGGTGAAAGTGCAACACACTGCGCCTGTGCAATGCATTGTCTCGAGTGCAAGCCTTTGATTGCACGATAAAGGGCATCTCTCTACATGGATGCCCACATTCATACCTGCCTGCTTGCTACTCGGCCTGAGGGTAACGTAACCTGAATGCCACTCTGTGTGAATTCTAAGTCATCAACATGGCATGGTGAGCGCCTTGCACAGTGGATGGTGCACCGCACCGAGTGAACGGTACAGCATGTGAGCTTTACAACATGTTAGCGTTACAACGTGTGGGCGTTACAGCATGTGAGCGTTACATGATCTGCAGCACGGATTGGCAGAGGTACTCGGGGATGGGGCCTGACAGCTGGTTGTGGTGCACCGCCCTGCAGGCAGGGGGCAGACAGGAGGCATGAGGGGGTGAAGGACGGGATCAGGGGGGGGGGAACGAAGGGGAAGCAGGGACGAGCAGACAGGGATCAGGGATGAGCGGCCGGGAAGCAGAGGAAAACGGGGGCTGGGCGGGCAGGAAGCGGGGGCTGGGCGGGCAGGAAGCGGGGGCTGGGCGGGCAGGAAGCGGGGGCTGGGCGGGCAGGAAAGCAAGAGGGTTATGAACAAGTGACAGGGGAGAGGAATGGGAGGCGGGTGGGAGAGAAGCAGGGGGAGGCATGTGTGATGGCGGGGCAGGGGACGCAAGGCAAGCAAGAAGAGCGCGACTTGAAGCCAGCACAAGCAGCGAAGCTGGGCAAACAAGAGTAAGAGCAACGGCATGTGGTGCCACTCACAGCATTGCCAGGCCCTCACAGCATTGCCAGGCCCTCACAGCATGGCCCCACACTCATAGCATGACCCCACACTCACAGCATGGCCAGACGATTGAGATTGATATGACGCCTCTCCAGCGACCCTGAGAGCGCGTTGAACGAGAGGTCGCTGTGGAAATGGGAGCGTGTTGAATGCATGTTGAATGCGCATTGAATGGGGCGTGTTGAATGCGTGTTGAACATGGAGATATGGGAGAGCGGCATGGATGGGAGTATAAGGGGGAGAGAGATATATGGGTGGGCGGAAAGGGGATAAGAAAAAGCGACGGTTGAGAGAAGGAAGGGAACAGGAGTTTCTATTCTCGAGATTCAAATGGAATAGTTACCAGGGATCTCGTAGTTACCAGGGATCTCGTAGTTACCAGGGCTCTTGTAGTTACCAGGGCTCTTGTGGTTACCAGGGCTCTCGTGGTTGGTAAGGTAGGGCATACTCACAGGATGAGAGCTGGACTGGCAGCAGCGTTGGGCAGAGGGCCTGAGAGGCGGTTGCGAGAAACATTGCTGGCATGGTGAGTTGTGTAGCAGGGGGCACGGGAGAGAGGGGGGAGAGCGGATGAGAGACGACATGAGGACCGACATGAGGATGAATGAATCCAAGATGAATGGCTGGTTGCTAAAAGCTGCTGTTCTGATGCCGGAAATTACTGATGGGTGGTATAGATAGGGAAGTTGGCTAACAGGTGGGAGTTGACTGACGGGTGGGAGAGTTGACTGACAGGTGGGAGAGTTGACTGACAGGTGGGAGAGTTGACTGACAGGTGGGAGAGTTGACTGACAGGTGGGAGAGTTGACTGACAGGTGGGAGAGTTGACTGACAGGTGGGAGAGTTGACTGACAGGTGGGAGAGTTGACTGACAGGTGGGAGAGTTGACTGACAGGTGGGAGAGTTGACTGACAGGTGGGAGAGTTGACTGACAGGTGGGAGAGTTGACTGACAGGTGGGAGAGTTGACTGACAGGTGGGAGAGTTGACTGACAGGTGGGAGAGCTGGCGCAGGTTGAAAATGGCAGGAGGCAGCAATCCGGAGAGTAGGTTGATCGCCATGTTCCTGCCATGGCATGACGTGGCACGGGCAATGGTAAGGGGTGCGCATGTGATGGCCTCGTTGTGGTTCACGGGACAGGATGGATGGGCGAGGGCAGTGGGATAGATGCCCATGCGTCTCTGCCGTGGGTCTTGGGTGGGTGGCTCATGCTGACATCAGATGTCATGATGTGGCATGTTGACATCGAATGTCATGACATGGCATGCTGAGCTGACATGTCAAGACACGGCATGCTCCACGGAAAATGATATAGTGGTTCACATACAGGCATGCAAAGTCCATATGGGATCGATACATGCATATAGGCAAGTCGTGGCCATACAAGTGGGCCATGGCATACAGGTGGGTCATGCCATACAGATGGGTCATGCCCCATACAGGTGGGTCTTGTGTCAGATTTGAGCATGATTTGATACATTAGTAGTGGACTCAAAGCTCTTTAAGTACATCCGAGATGACCGAGGAATGGATGAAGAGGGAATTGGGGGCAATACCTAGGGGATTGAGGGTAATCCCAAGGCAATCTCCAATTGGTGGGTTGGAGATTGCTTGGAGATTACATTTGGGTTTGGTTGGAATGTGTGTGTACACCCAACCAAACACAAAGTGCAAACTACACTATTCTGGGATATAAAAAGTACAAGTACAAAAGTTGAGATTGAGGGCTAGCTCTAACATCATGCCTCATACAGGTGAGTCATATTGGGCATGCGACCAAAGAGGGGTGGAACAGAGCCATGATATGCGTTGACTGAGAGGTCACTGCGGGGCATGGGGGGATGGGGGAATATGGCCGGGCAGGGGGGGTACATGACAGAAATTTAGGGGAGAAGAAGCGATGGGAGGCGAGGGAATACGAGAATGCGGAATATGGGCACAAGCCCCATGCCACAAGCCCCACGCCCCTGCCCACACGCGGGCCTCACACAATCTCGAGGGAGCTCAGAGGAGAGAGGGCCGGTGTGATGTCTCCTGACAGCCGATTGGACGACACGTTGCTGGGAGGGGGCATGCATGGGTATGGTATGGGGTACAGGGAATGAAGCTAGGGTGTGGAGTATGGGGTATAGGTTATTAGGTGATGGTATTTCGCACAAGGTATGGCGTACGGCATGCAAGTGGGCATGCCATCCAGTGCGAAGAATCGAGTATAATGGCATGGCATGGCGTGGTGCATGCATGACATGGCAAGACGAGAAGCAGCGGTGGCAAAGCAAGGGAGAGGAGGGCGCACAGGTAGGTGAGGGAGGAGAGGCGCGAAAGAGCCCGGGGAAGGGAGCCCTGCAGCAGGTTGTGCGCCAGGTTGCTGGGGGACGGGGTGGGAAGAGTTGGGTGGGGGTGGGTAGAAGCAGGAGTTGTCAATGTTAAGATGTGACAGAGACGTACCATGCCACCTGACGTGCAACGTCACACGCACACATACCACAACACATGCTCACACACAAGTCGTCATCTCACATGCTGACATGGCATCTCACATGCTGAGGAAGTCAGTGGGGTTGCTGATAGCTGGCGGCACGGTGCCAGTGAGCTGGTTGGAAGAGAGGTCGCTGCAGGTGGGAGGAGCGCCCACAGGGAAAGGGAGAGGGGTGGAATGCGGTGGTGGGGAGTGGAATGTGGGCAGGGAGAGGTGCGGAGGTGAGGAGGGGAGTGAGGGCAGGGAGAGGGGTGCACGCGAGGAGAGAGGCAGTTGTGGAAAAGGGGAGCGGCAAGGAGTGTGCAAATGAACATCCTCACTCCACCTTGCTCTACCACCCATGCATTTCATGCGCCCACGCGAGAATAATGGACAGGAGAGCGAGGGCACACAGAGAAAAGGCACACAAAGCAACGCAAGGGCATACAGCAGAGTGAGTGAGGTGAGTTGCGAGATGAAGGCTGGAATGGACCCCGTGAGGAGGTTGCCTGACATGTCCCTGTGTGTGAGGTGAGAGGGCATGGCGAGCACAGGGATACAGTGGGGGGGAAACACGGAGAGCATGGGCGGTGATAGGAGAAGCTATATCATACAGAGGGGCTTGGGGCTGCGAGACAGAGAGGGAATGGGGGTGGGAGAGGAGGGGGTTAAGGAAAGCAGGGGTGTGAGGCACGAGAGTGAGGGACAACAGAGAGAGATATGCATAGTGTGTAGACAGGTGGGAAGGGCAAGGCAATGCAGAGGTGACAGGTGGGAAGGGCAGGAGGGCAGAGATGTGGTAAGGTGAGGGCAACACACAGCTCGGCAGGGCAGGCAGGGCAGGCAAGGCAACGCACAGCTCGTTGAGGTACGTGAGGGTGGAGAGGGAGGGGTCGAGCGCTCCTGAGAATCTGTTGTGCGAGTAGTTGCTGGGGGAGGGAGGAGGCGAGCAGTGCATAGGGGATGAGAGGGGGGAAGAGGGAAGAGGGGATGGTGTTGGGTGGGGGGGTCGGGAGACAGGGTGATGGAATGGATCGTGCTGGATGGATGGCAGGCATGGGTTTGTGTGAGAGAGAATGGTTGCGTTGGTGTGAAGAGGTGAGGGTGCCGAGATGATGGGAAGGAATGGCGGTAGGTGCTATGGTGGAAGGGATGAGCGTGGAGAGCGGTCGTCAGAGTCCATGGCTGATGCCTGTGTGTTGCTGTGGGTGTCTGCTCACGCATGGATGAGCAGTTTGCTGCTCACGCATGGATGAGCAGTTTGCTGCTCACGCATGGATGAGCAGTTTGCTGCTCACGCATGGATGAGCAGTTTGCTGCTCACGCATGGATGAGCAGTTTGCTGCTCACGCACTCACCACCATGTTCTTAAACACCGCACGCACATGGAAAAGGTAGTTGAGTTCACTTCTGTGCCCGAAAAAAATGCTCTGCCCGATAAATTGTTGTGAGAGATGTCGCTGGGAAGGGAGGGAAACCACAGCAGGGGAAGGGCAACATTTCATGCGTTTCAAAAAGAGCAGAAAAAAGGTTTTCGAGACGGAAAAAAGGGGGGAGTGGAAGATGGGGGGGGGAGGAAAGGGGGGGTTGCAAAACAAGGTTGGAGGTTGGGTAAAGCCTGGGCTGGGTTTGGGAAGAGATGGAGGGCGAAGGTGGTGTGGTGGGGGCTTGCCAAAGGCTAAGCTCTCTGAACCACTTGCACGCAGCTTTCCTGTGCACCACCCAATTCATTCGATGACTAAGGATTGCTCAAGGGAGAGGAGGGAAGGGCGAGGCGACTTGTTGCATGTGGTTTCCGAGAGTTCTTTAGAACCATATGAAACAAGGGGGAGGGGCGGCGCACAGGGTGGAGGAGGAGGGGGAGGGGCGAGTGACGCACAGGGTGAAGAAGTTGACGTTGAAGTCAAAGGGGATTTCTCCCGACAGGCGGTTGTATGACGCGTTGCTGCCAAACAGCGGTGCACAGGGGTGCATACGGGCACAAAGGAGTGCATAGCGGTGCATAGCGGTGCACAGCGGAGCACAGGGATGCACAGGGGGGCACAGGGATGGATAGGGGCACACAGCAGCCCACAGTGACGAGAACTAATAGGCAGACAAATGAGGATAAAAATCAGGTTGGAAAGAGAAACATTTGAATGGAAGGAAAAGAGTGCACCTCACAAGTGGAGGGCTCCAAAGCAGAGGGGTCAAAAGCAGAGGGGTCAAAAGCAGAGGGGTCAAAAGCAGAGGGGCCAGAAGCAGAGGGGCCAGAAGCAGAGGGGCCAGAAGCAGAGGGGCCAGAAGCAGAGGGGCCAGAAGCAGAGGGGCCAGAAGCAGAGGGGCCAGAAGCAGAGGGGCCAGAAGCAGAGGGGCCAGAAGCAGAGGGGCCAGAAGCAGAGGGGCCAGAAGCAGAGGGGCCAGAAGCAGAGGGGCCAGAAGCAGAGGGGCCAGAAGCAGAGGGGCCAGAAGCAGAGGGGACTCACAAATTCGGGCCGCCGGGAGGATAGCTGTAGCTGAGGCCCGAGGGCAGGGGCCCTGTGAGCTCGTTCACTGACACGTCACTGGCACACCGTGGTTGGGGAAGGGGAAGTGTGGGAGGGAGGAGCAGATGATGGGTGGACAAGGATAGGAGAAGAGAGAGAAGATGATGTATCGAGAGGCATGCCATCAAGTGGGTGAGACGGGATGGGAGAAAGGGGAGATGTATGGATGTGCTTGCTGGAGAGAGAAGGCAGGTGTAGGATGATGCATGTGATGATACATGTGATGATGAATGTGATGATGCTGATCAAGAGGAAGTGATGCTGCATGGCATGTGCATGGCACATAACGCATGGTCCATGGTGCATGGCGCATGGCACATGGCACATGGCGCATGGCGCATGGCAGCAAGAGATATACAAGACGGTGAAGAAGTTGCTGTTGCTGCCGAAGGTGGATGGTATGGAGCCATTGAAGCGATTGCAACACAGGGAGCTGCGCGGGGCAATGGGAAGACAAAAACAGGAGATGGAGAGAGGGAAAGGCTTGTGAGTGAAGACAGAAGACGAGTTTGTTGTACTGACAGGGGCCAGAGGCTGAGAGAAGTGCTGACAAGGCATGGAGGGCGAGAGAGGTGAGGTGCTGAGATTGCGTTGAGGGAGGAGAGAAGTGCCCACATGCCCATGAGGGAGGAGAGAAGTGCCCACATGCCCATGAGGGAGGGGAGAAGTGCTCCTCACATGCCCATGAGGGAGGAGAGAGCAGCGAGGGGAGACAGCGACCCCGAAAACAAGTTGCTGTTCAGCGAACTGACGTGGAGGGAGGGGGGAGGATGATGATGCATGGGGTTGTGGGGCAGGGGGCAGGGTGGTGTGGACGGAGGGGGAGATGGGGGTGTGGGGAGTAGCAAGGAGGTGAAGGTTATGGTGGAAAAATGCTTTGCTGCGACATTGGTGCGTGGCAAATGTGGCGGGTGGTATGATGGAGGTTGATTGGCAGGATGGTGGCAGTTAGTGGCGGTGCTCATGGGATGGCTGTGCGCATGGAATGGCATGGCATGGCATGGCATGGCAAGGCATGGCATGGCATGGCAAGGCATGGCATGGAGGTGAGGCTCACATGGTGCTGAGGCTGGCCATGGTGGAGAAGGACTGGGGGAGGGTCCCTGACAGGTGGTTGTGTGACAAGTCTCTGTATGCACACAAGTAATTTGGCATGCACACAAGTCATTTGACATGCGCACAAATCATTTGGCATGCGCACATGTCATTTGGCATGCACACATGTCATTTGGCATGCACACGCACACGGGGGTGAGATGATAGTGACTGGGATACGATACAATGATTGGGGAAAGCAGGTTGAAGGATGAAATCTGAGAAAATACATGCAGGTCACAGCGTTAAAAGGCCTTCACAGGCTGCAGAGCTGATAAGCGCTGTACCAGGGCCACCCACGGTCACTCACATGCTCACATGGTCACTCACATGCTCACATGGTCACCCACATGGTCACATGGTCACTCACATGGTCACATGGTCACTCACATGGTCACATGGTCACTCACATGCTCACATAATCACTCATATATGCTAATTCGTGACGTGTGGCTCACAAGTTGTAGAGGTTGGTGAGGCGCCCCATGCTGCTGGGCAGCGGCCCTGTGAAGTCATTGTACATCAGCACGCTGCCGAGGCGGAGGACGAGGAGGGAGAGGAGGGAGCGGAGGGAGAGGAGGGAGAGGAGGGAGAGGAGGGAGAGGAGGGAGAGGAGGGAGAGGAGGGAGAGGAGGGAGAGGATGATGCGGAGGGGGTGCAGACGGGGCGAGGGGCAGAAAACAGAGGGACAACATGGGTGCTTGGCGAAAACGGAAGAGAGGGAGGGCGACGTGTAGGGCGAGGTGTAGGGCGCACATACATGCCGGGAGGCACACATACATGCCGGACGGCGCACATACATGCCGGACGGCGCACATACATGCCGGACGGCGCACATACATGCCGGAAGGCGCACATACATGCCGGACAGCGCACATACATGCCGGGAGGCGCACATACATGCCGGGCGGCGCACATACATGCCGGGAGGCACACATACATGCCGGACGGCGCACATACATGCCGGACGGCGCACATACATGCCGGACGGCGCACATACATGCCGGAAGGCGCACATACATGCCGGACAGCGCACATACATGCCGGGCGGCGCACATACATGCCGGGAGGCGCACATACATGCTGGGCGGCGCACATACATGCCGGACGGCGCACATACATGCCGGACGGCGCACATACATGCCGGACGGCGCACATACATGCCGGACGGCGGGCACATACAGCTCAGTGAGAGAGACCATGTTGCCGATGGCATCAGGAAGGGTTCCGGAAAACTTGTTTCTGTCCATGTACCTGGTGGTAGGGGCGGCACGGCATGGCATGGCACAGCATGGGATGGCAGGACATAAGAGTGGGTAGAGCCATCTGGCGACTGGCCAGCTGGTGGAAGTGGATGGCCAATCGAAATGCCTGACTGACAGGTACGAAAATGTGACTGACAGGGAAGACTTGTTGACTGATAGAGAGGAATTGACTGACAGGGAATTGTTGACTGACAGGTAGAAAATGTTGACTGACAGGCAGAAATTGTTGACTGACATGACAAGTGGGAAGCGTTAACTGACAGGGTGGCAAGTTTGGTGAGTTTGCTGAAGAAGGTGGGGAAGGGGCCTGATAAGGAGTTGTTGGAGAGATCCCTGCCATGCATGCATGCCACTCACACTCGCATACATGCACACGTGCATCCACACATACACATTGATCCTCACACTCACACACATGCGTGCAAACATGCATACACACTCACAAAATGTACACGCACACTCGCACACATAAACTCACACATGCACAGGCACACACGCACATGCCAGAGAGGCAACGTTGACTGACAGAGGGACGGAGTTAACTGACAGCTGAACGAAGCTAATCAACAGGGCGCGAACTCAACTAGCAGAGGGAAAGACGTAAACAGAGAGGGGCGAAGCGAACTGACAGAAATGTGAGATTGACGAGGTTGCCGATGTCAGAGGGGATGGAGCCACGCAGGTAGTTGTCTCGCAGAGTCCTGCGAATGGCTCACACATCAGCGTTGGTCGCATGCATCAGCGTTGGTCGCATGCATCGGCGTTGGTCGCATGCATCAGCATTGGTTGCATGCATCAGCATTGGTCGCATGCATCAGCATTGGTCGCATGCATCAGCATTGGTCGCATGCATCAGCGTTGGTCGCATGCATCGGCGTTGGTCGCATGCATCAGCATTGGTCGCATGCATCAGCATTGGTCGCATGCATCAGCATTGGTCGCATGCATCAGCATTGGTCGCATGCATCAGCATTGGTCGCATGCATCAGCATTGGTCGCATGCATCAGCGTTGGTCGCATGCATCGGCGTTGGTCGCATGCATCAGCATTGGTCGCATGCATCAGCATTGGTCGCATGCATCAGCATTGGTCGCATGCATCAGCATTGGTCGCATGCATCAGCATTGGTCGCATGCATCGGCGTTGGTCGCATGCATCGGCGTTGGTCGCATGCATCGGCGTTGGTCGCATGCATCAGCATTGGTCGCATGCATCGGCGATGGTCGCATGCATCAGCATTGGTCGCATGCATCGGCGTTGGTCGCATCACATGCATCATGCATGGCACGGCATGGCATGGCGTGTCATGGTAGGAGACGCACGTATTGCATGGTATCAGGTTCTTAGTTGGGATCCGTTGAAATAGTGGCGCATGAGTCAACGCAGCAGGCCTGTCCCAACACATGTGGCTTTCAGTGGCTCAAAGCGCAGACGCTAACAGGCATTCAAGGTGCGTCAAGCGCAGACGCTCACAGGGAGTCAAGGTGCTTCAGCTGGAAAATATCTGGAGGCAGCTCCCCTTGTATTCCCTTGTTCTGCCAATTGCTGCACACGCAAAAGCCACGAGTCAAGGCAAGAAAGCGTCACTCGCAAGCTCTCGTACTCCTCCTGCTACCCTAACCTTGGCATCAGCAGCAGCGACGGCATGAGCAGAAGCAGCAGCAGCAGCAGCAGCAGCAGCAGCAGCAGCAGCAGCAGCAGAAGCACTGACATATAAGTGACATAGCCACTGTCGCTACAAGTGAGGCCGAGATTGACGCAGGTAGTGACGTCAGTCAGCTCGTACGGAAGGTAATCCAGACCCAAAGCCACATATGATAGAGTTCGCGCTGCCAAGCATCAGATGAGGAACGTTACCGTTAGGCCCAGAGTGCATGAGAGTGAACTTATGTTGGTTGGCAGAATTGAGCTGAGATTGCGCTAGGCCATCGCTAGAAATACTGAGAAACGAAGCAACGTTCCGTGAAATTCTGAAGAATCGAAGCGAAATTGATGAGAACAGAAACTGATATTGCGTGAAATGCTGAGAAAAGAAGCCGACACTGCGCGATACGAAGCCAACATTGCGTGAAGGAAAGCCGACATGCGAGATAGCGAGCCTACCCTCCATGTAATCGAGCTGCACGCACTGCTGCAAGCTCGGGTCCTGACCCGCGCACGGCACGGCGTTACTCGCCAACAGCAGCAGCTGCAGCACAGCCGCTACCATCAAGGCGCTCCCCTTGGAAGCCACCATCGTTCCACCCGATTTGCGAATCTTAAGGTTAACAAATACCGAACCGACGTTTGCGGAGAGCTAAGACGAAACTGCATGTACAAGTGCGTGTAGTCGAGGTTGGTTCTTAGGAATTCATTGTTCGTAGAGGCTGGTTGTCAGGCTGCAAACCACGGTGTGATGTGCAGCGAAGTAACGTAAGGTTACTTCTACCACTTCTACCAGATAAGAATGTGGCACGAGCATTTTGAATTGCACAAGCACAGCCATGGCCTTGTTCTGCTGGCGCATCAGGCCACATCATTGGCTCGCTTGCTTGTCTACCAGTATCCAATCAAATCATCCAGGAGCGAGAAAGTGGCATAAACTCGGGCTGCGTTCGGCGGCCGCATTAGCCCGCCTCAATTTTTCAATTTGTCAATTTGCCGAGCCTAGGGCGCATCAGGCTCTGATGCGGCCGCCGAACGCGGCCTCGGAATCCAAGAAAGTCTTTCTGGGGTGCTCGCATCGCAAGGCAACTTTGGTGGTCGCATCGCAATCCCAACCAGGTCTGGGAGGAAATGACGGAGCGCTGTGTTTTCGAGGCCCAGTTCGGCAGGCATTATGGCCATTATCGCCATTATCGGCCATTTTAACGGGCCCCCAAAAAATGGCCCCAAGAAACAGACTGTAGCTGCAGTGAAACTTCGGGAAAAAATGGCCCGAGTGTTCGGTTGGCATTAAATGGGCCAAAAATAATGGCACCAGTCGGAAATGACACTTCGGGGAAGCCCGTATGCAGCTGCGCTGATGGAGCCTGGAATCACTGTACGGGCAGCCCGGGCAGCCTCGCAAAGCAGCGGTGGACGTCGAAAAAAATCGCACAAGGCATACTGTGCGTTCGATGTGTTAGAGATGGTGTGTTGGTGATGTGCGATTTTCCAGCGGGCACGAAGAGGGGTGAGAAAGACCGAGATTTGTTATTGTCAGGGCAAAGTTTGATTTCCCCGAATCAATGATCCCCCGCATGGTGCGGGGCCTCGAGGCCGCATGGTGCGGCGGATGAGAAAATGGGTAGTTTGCCTGAGAAAAAGGGTTCGAGGAAGGTTCCTCTTGTGAAAAATGTCAGCGTCAAAAGGGGTGTTCGGCTGGCATTCCATTATTGTCTGGTTCGGCGATGATCCGCTTATATCGAGCCTAGATAACCTTTCGCGCGCTTATCAAAGAAGGTTCCAGGGTGGTCGGTTTACTGTAGCCCATACGGGGAAACCGTTTTTTTAATGCCTGCCGAACTGGGCCCGAGTTTCCAATTCCAATGGGCAGTGGTTTTGACAGCGCATCGCTCCGCGCTCGCGTCGAATACCTTGGGGCATATTAATACTCCGTTTCCCCTTTTGAGTCCACAAATACAAATTAAGTTTCTGTTCCGAGGTATTCAACGTATATTCGTCGAGTCCATGGGAACGCGCAGTTCGAGACAAAAAAAATAAAACCCTCATGGATGGTATGCCACGTAGAGAGCATCAACCCTAAACACCTTGAGGCAAGGTGTTTAGGGTTGATGCCTCCCAAATGGCTTGTTGTCCGAGTGGGTTTTAGTTTTGCCACTGGCCTCTATACTGAACCCAGGTAGACTTAATAATTTCCCTTCTATACGTTTGGTCGTGGAAAACGGGAAACAGCAATCTAAACTGCCCGCGGGAATTGGACGCGAGCGCGGTGGGAGTCGCTGTCAAAGCCACTGCCAAAAGGAATTGAAAACGCGCAAACACGGCGGTCCGTCATTTCCTCCAGGTCTGGGCATACGACGTGACAAGCCCAAGGGAAGGTTCGGAACAAACGCAACATACGACGTTCAACACCAACGTTCACCATAGGAGGCATCAGGTCACTTCAATCCCCTCCCACCCAAACCACCACCACCACCACCACTACCAACCCACCACCACCCACCACCACCCACCACCACCACCACCGGGGTTATCCGCGCTAAGCAGTTTGTCATGCTAACCCACTTGACCAGCAAGTTCCAAAACGGCTCCCAAGTTATCTCTTACTGTATGTTGATTCATAGCACGCTTTCAACCATCGTATGGTGTGTTGCAACACCACATCAAAGCAAGCTGATTGCTCAGCTACGTTATCCATGATAGGGTGCATCCTCATGGCATATTCTCAAACTTACGTATGACTGTGCCAGTGCACACACCAGCACAACTGTGCGTTACATCAGGAGAAACCAAATAGCTTAGCCGACCAAGCCCAAAGATAAATCGTTTCATATGCAGGGATGTCATTATAGTTCCGCAGGACTGCTGCCAGCCACTGCATCCTGCTCGGATCTGATTTGATTGTACAGGTTCCCCACGGGCCCCACTCGGACAACGTTGTTCATGAATGTCTTGAAGCGAGTTGATGACTCCACATTGCTGCTTGTGACATGGGGCAGGGTGGGGCAGGGATGGAGGGACGAGGGAAGGGAAGGCAGAGGCAAAAGCAGAGGGTGGGTGTGAGTGAAGGCTCTGCAAAGGGCAGGTCAGAAAGTGGCAAGGAAAAAAATGGCCCCCATGCTGGTTCCAGCATACTACACCGCTCACCCCCACACCACTCCTATTTATCCAACACAACATAACTGACCCCACACCACTCACCTGATGCGGGACAAAGCATGCACGGCGCGCAGGGCACCGCGGATCATGTCCTCATTGCGGTCAACCTCCTGCTTCACGGCGTCATGCAATTCTCACCACCACATGACTCACCTGCTTCTTCCAGCCACGCACTCACTTTATCCAAGCATGCGCATCTCACCTGATGCAGGACAAAGCACGCACGGTGCGCAGGGCACTGCGGATCATGTCCTCGTTGCGGTCCACCTCCTGCTTCACTGCGTCATGCAATGCCCACCACCACATGACTCACCTGCTTCTTCCAGCCACGCCAATCACCTGATCCAAGCATGCGCATCTCACCTGATGCAGGACAAAGCACGCACGGTGCGCAGGGCACTGCGGATCATGTCCTCGTTGCGGTCCACCTCCTGCTTCACTGCGTCATGCAATGCCCACCACCACATGACTCACCTGCTTCTTCCAGCCACGCCACTCACCTGATCCAAGCATGCGCGTCTCACCTGATGCGGGACAGCGCGTGCACAGCGCGCAGTGCACTGCGGATCATGTCCTCGTTGCGGTCAACCTCCTGCTTCACGGCGGCGTTGCAGTCCATACCAACCCACCACTCACGTGCCTCCGTGCCACGCCTCTCACTCGCTCCAAGTGATGCAGGAAAGGGCGCCTCACCTGATCCGTGACAGAGCATGCACGGCGCGCAGGGCGCTGCAAATCATGTCCTCATTGCGATCCACCTCCTGCTTCACTGCATCTGCCTTGACTCGCGTTGTCACTGTCTTCTCTAAGGGCTCCACCAGTGCGTCCACCATCGCCAGCACGGATGGCGCACACTTCTCTGCTAGCTTCGCCAGCACCAGATGGCATGGCATCTTCACATCGTAGATGTCTGTCATGGATGGTGGTGACAACAGAGGGAGGGGAGGGGAGGAAAGGGATGAGATGGTAAACGCGTCTGCCTTCACGCGTGGCGTCACGGTCTTCTCCAAGGGCTCCACCAGTGCATCCACCACCGCCAGCACTGATGGCGAGGGGGGGAGGAGACGGAAGGAATGGGGAGGGGAAGGGAGGGGAGGGAAGGGAAGGAAGCGATTAGAAGAAGGAAGAGATTCAGAGACGGGAAACGTGAGGTACAGAGGACTTGTGTCAAGGGGGTATACGTATCCGAGAGGCCAGAGATGAGGAAGAGGATGATGAAGGCGGCCGGTTAGATGCGGTGCAGGCAGGTGGGGAGGAGCGTGTCCATGCAGTCAAAGGCTGCCTTGCGCAGCTCCAGCCCATAGTTCACTGTGTGCTTGAATGGCCCGGATCAATAGTCCGGATCATCTCGAGCCGCATGTTGTAGGAGGGGAAGCAGGTGATCAAGCAAATGATCAAGCAAGTAGAAAACCCAACACATGAATCCACTCATCGAAGGGACGATGACATTGATGGGTGGGCCCTCCACTTTCAGACCGGAACCTTCTCCTTCCCTACATAGCATCCAGCCAGCTCGTACCCTCACACTCGTCTGTTCATTATTTCACTCTCATCAATTCATTCCTTCACTCTCATCACTTCTCTCCCTTACTCTCATCAATTCATTCCTTCACTCTCCTCTGCTCGCATGTTCACTCTCATCTACTCGCCCCGTCACTCTCATTTGTGTGCATCTTGACTTGCATTTGGTCGTATAGAAGTGGCAGCAGCTCCGGCAGAAGATCCTCCACCAGCCTTGGCCCGCACACCTTGTCCATCCATACACTAACCGGAATCTGCTCGTACCTTTACCCTCGTCTGCTTGCACACCTCTTGACTCGCGTCGTTCTATAGCAGAGGCAACAGCTCTGGCAGAAGGTCCTCGACTAGCCCTGGCTTCTGGCCTCTCGATATCAGGGTGATTCACCCTTATGACCCTTACTATAAGGGCGGGTTTGACGATGCACCCTTTTTTACAAGACTGGTTTTGTTTTCAACCCATACAAAAAAAGGTGATCGATTGTACGACACTGATATTTCAGAGCTATGTGGTGTAGTAGCACTGATGAAATCGAGTTCGATCTAAGAGAGGATACCAGGATTGGTCGCGTAAAACCGATTTCCCGCGTCAGACGACCGCGACGGGTATCAAACTTGGGTCCTCCACATTACAACGATGACTCAACACACTGCAACACTAACACCCTACGTAGCATGGTCAGCAAAATTATTTGACCGTTTTTTTAAATTTGTTTGCACCCTGATTTTTAAGAGCAATTTCTGTAAAGCACCCTTACTGAAAGAGTAACAGCTGGGTGTTGGCCTTACGAGGAAGAGTACCCCAAATCCTATCCAGAGGCCTGCCTGGCATGTAATGCGCTGCAGCCGTCAGCACCAGCACTGCTGTCCGCCGTAAGGAGCATAGCGCGGGCAACAGCTCATGTGGCTAATGCC